CAGGGGTTGGACCCAAATATACCCAGAGGTAGTATAGAAGCAGGATCTGAGATTGTTTAGGGATAATATGCTACTTGTTTTCCAACTAATCTCCCTTACAGATATCGTACTGGAACCAGTTTCCTGCAGCAAAACAGTTGCAAGACAGCGACTGAAACAAGTTTGGAGCTTTGGGAGAAGAAACCTTCCTACAGAAGCGAAAATCTGGACACTTGGTTGGCGAAAGCCTATTTCGTCCTGTGCAACCTGACCTGACCTGACCTGATTGGTCGCTTCCCCCTTCCTGAAAATTTTATCTTTATATATTCAATAAAAGGAAGTAAAAGAAATAGCATAGAAAAAGTGTAAGTCCAGCATGCTACCTTGCACAACTCACAGGGCACGTTCCAAGTGCTTGGATGCTTGTTGTAGATCACCATCATCAAAAGCCAGCTGACACAATTCCATCTCGCAGAACGGTAACAAGTACGTGTCCAACTTGAGCTTCTTCTTCCTACGCACAAGCACGAAAAAGCAAAAGGCATACACAATGTTGGGGCGATGAAATGGGGTTCCTTCGGTCTACTTGACTGAATGAAAATTATTTCTTTTATGATGATGATGATGATTGATTTTTGCCAGAAACTATTGCACTGATTTCATAATCGGCAGTGCGGTAGGGATAGTCTGTTCAGAAAAAGTTGCACCACACCTAGCTTGCCAAATGCAGTGGTCGCTAAAATACGGGGGGACGTGAAACTAGGTTCTCAAAGTATAAATACATGCTATCCGAACCGAAATTTGGAGGTTACTTTGGATGAAACGTGTGCACACGACAAATAGATGCGGTCAGCATACGTTGGCCTTAGCATCAATAAAGAATCCAAGCTCAACTGATTTTTCTGTCGATTAGTGATTTCGTTGCAATAAACAACGGTATTTGCAACTAACGATAATCAGCAATAAATGCGATGAAATATTAAGCGGAGAGGGAAAAAATCAGCCAGATTAGGTAGAATGATTCACGGTACACGAAAGATAGCTCTCTTGGTAACTGTGGACCAACCTAATCACTTAAGATTTTACTAGCCCCGGTAGGCTTTGACATTATTAATGCTTTTTGAAGGATCAGTGAATGCAGTTGATTCTACCCGTGCCTGTTGTTTTACCAAATTCGTCTACACCAGAGTTGCACCTATTTTGGGTTCTCAAGAAACTGGCTACTCATTAGTAGTCATATCCGAGATTGAACATGAACCAATAGTCTAACGCAGGATTGCTTTCAAATCCAGCGGAATAGTATTCCATCACAGTTACTTTTCTGTGGCGCACTATACGCGCACGTAAACCACTATGGATGAATGAATATCTACCTTAACACTAGTTAGTCATGTCTGAAGAATAATCAGGGTAAATGTGATGAATTCGTCGTGTAAATGAGGCGTGTGCTGACAAACAAGGAAGAAATGGCCAGCCGTTTCGACCTGGTTGTCTCATTGACACCAAGAACCCATCACACTTATTCAACTTCAATCCACCACCATTCTCACCAATGTCATAAAGTAGGCAGATTATTGCTTCTCTGTTAAAGAAAAAACATGACACAAGTCAAGATAACTTACAAATACATGAGTATATCTCATCATACGGCTGGAACGCAGTAGGTTTTTGCTTTTAATTTGAGGCATGATGGTCAAGGATTAGGACTGTCACCTAGGAGGCTCCAGTTTTCTTCCAAACCGAAGAGCATATATATAGGTAATAAAATGCAAGTAGCAAAAGTCGCTGGTACTGGCCTATTCTGCAGTGCTGCTTGAGGTTTGAACTGGGGCGCCTTCTCCCAAACGCAGTGATAGGCAGCTTCGTTGCGTTCTGAGTCAAAAACATGCCGACCTGAATTAGAGCTTCATTTGGTATACCACTCCATATGTTCTTGCGAGTGAGCCACGAATCCCGATGGATGCAGGATTTACCTGCCTGCATACATCCATCAGACATTAGTGTGCAAACAAGATCTACGAATCTTGCTCGACATATTTGACCAAATGAAGAAGCTGACGAGATAGTTTGTCGGGTACAAAAGTACACCTCTGTTATATTTCATTATTCTTCGTACCAACAAGAAGACAGAAATAATACAAGAACACGTATAAATTAAACGGAAACAGTACGCTTACATTTGCAATATCTCCTGGAAGCACATTGAAGCTTGAAACTGCTGACCTCGACAACGAAGACAGACCCCTTTGAGCAACAGGGCCAGACAATAGTCGTCGTAATACGTCTCATATTTTTCTGTGTGTATGTGTAAAGAGCAAGTAAGTAACTTAGGTGAACCAGCACCGTAGGTAGACTACTATAAATTTGAGCGAATGTGAGTGTGGAAGAAAACATGAATGTTGTGAACAATAGTTGTTACAATGTCATTTTATTTTTGTTTTCTATTGTCTCAAGCAACGTGTGCATCTGGACTGATAAACGCATGTGAAAAGCCGTAATAAACAATTATTGGATAAAATTGTTCACCTAGTCCGAGAAAGCAGAGTCAATCATGGTGATACATATTGTTCACTATCAGACAGTACGCGACCACCTGGGTCAGTTTCATAAATAACAGAAACCATCTATAGAACCATGTCACACAAATCAATTCATGTTGAGTGGGTGCACTTGTTCGGAACAGTCTTCTTAGAAGCCTGTTGAAATGTCGCGCAGCAGAAATTCTACCACTAACCNAAGTCGTTCATAGAGGCGATATTTTGTGAATATACACTCGACCAAAGTGAAAAACAAACGGACAAAACAATGCAACCAAACACTGCTTCTAGTCACTTTAATTCAGAAAAGAATGAAGCTGTTGTCAATTTCTTTCTTACTGTACAACATGTGGTGATTTCCACAAAATTTTACCGCCTTTTATGGAATAGCCGTGAGCACATGATCGTACGGTTGGTTGTTAACAAATAGACGAACAGACTAACAATATTCATGAAAGCAGAATTCGAAATAGTCCGCCCAGATACTGTTTCTGCATTAAATAGTGCCGGTAAGTGCCAATGCGGTTCCCTCGCCTTGTGATCCCCAGTTGCTCGAGTTTCATGACACCTCCAAATAATTCAGCAAAATCAGAATTAAAATATGTTCATTTGTGCCAGAAACCTCATGTAGAAGGGTTATCACAGAGAGGGATAGAATCTATTCGGAAATATAATGAATGGCCAGCCTATCGATGAGTAGCTGCTCAAGGTGAATTCTCTAGCTATCCGATGAGTAAACCTAAGTGTTTTCATTTCTTTTGGCTCCATTTTTCAAATAGATTTACCTGTGCTCACAGACCTTCTTTTCTTAACATGCTCGCATTATCATTTTCTTTCAACTTAGTCCTGCTCTGAGGTGAAAAATTCTGTGACCTTTGGTGTCCGGTTTATTTTTCAAATAATTACTTGCGTACACTTATCTGTTCCATTATAACTATTCCTCGTTTTACACATGGCTCTCCATCCCTCCAGTCCAATGAAAGTTGAACTCTTATTTTGTCGTTTAGTTCATTATAACATTCGAATATCCGGAACCGTAGAATAGTTAGGAGTATCGGTTTATTCGTTTCTGTTGGTGTATAATAAAGTTGCATGAATCCGATTTCATTCAACG